CCTCTCCTCACCTCGCTCGCATTTTTGGTCAGATGTTTCCGGAGCCCTGCTGTGTGCTGAGAACGCACTTGGGGGCACGTGGCCCCTGCCCTCAGGGTCTGCACAGCAATGAGCAAGTGCCTTACCTCCGGGTCTTTCCTCTTTTCCATCGGTTCCTGTTTCTGCTGTTCCTCGCAAACTCCTATGCATCCTCAAGACCCCGCCCACCCAAGCCCGGCTGCCCCTTAGTCCAGGCAGAGGCACACCCAGCTCCTGTCTTGGGCTGCTGCGCTGATGACCCAGGACCTTCCCTGCCACACAGGGAGCCCGACCCAGACCCAGATCTTGGCTCCTGCTTCTCCTCCCCTGGGATGTTCTTTCCTCTTCTGTGTTCACTGGAGCTCGTGAATCTTCTAGTTCAATCTGGAGACGTCTTCAAAGGGCTGACTCGAGTCGTGCCACCAGGGCTCAGGCAGCAACAAGAGCAAACCCTGGGACTTCTGGGCACACCCGGGGTGCTGCTGGGGTGAGCGGGTGCGGGACGCGGGGGACCTTCTCCCAGAGTTCTTGCATTTCTCTTCAGGAGCCTGGAGGGCCCACAGCAGGGTCTCGTGAGATGCTCCTCCCTGGCCCGTGCGGGAAGGCAGCAGACGGTCAGACACCCCCCAGGCTTGGGCCTGAGAGCCGAGGCCTTGTATTGACCACTGTGCCCGTGTCCTCGAAGGACACAGAGCTCACAGACCAAAGGGAGCAGTCCTCCTGATGTGCCCTCGCACAGCCCGTTGTGGGGTCAGGAGGAGGCTCTGTGGATGTGGTCCCTCTTTCTACGCTCCCCCCCCCCAACCCCGCTAATCTGCTCTCTCTGGGCCACTGTGGCCACTGCCCTGGGCAGACCCCATCCCTGCCCCCTCTTGCCCGCACCTGCACCACGAAGAACCCCCCCCGCCCAGCTCTCCACCCCCAGCTCTGATGCAGGGAGTGCACCTGGCAGGAAGCGCTTGAAGGTGTGAGAGACGGGTGCCCACCAGGACCTGCCCCCTGACAGAGGGTCCCCTAAACAGCTCGTGGGCCCTGCCATCCCGGATGATGGTGCCCCTGACGCTCAGCGTCTTAGCGTGGGCTGTTCCCTCCTCACACCCACCGTCCTCACACCCACCGTTACATCTGTCCGAGTGCCCTCAGGTCCCACAGGATAGCGTCTCCTTCCACTGCCCCCGGCCCCTTCGTAAGTGGGATGTGACGGGGAAGAGGCAGCTGAGAATCGGCTGGCTTGGCCTGCCCTTCCTGACAGGGACCCTCCACACCCCCAGGGGAGGTCACAGAGTCCGGCCCCAGGGCCCCTTGGGGTGGGGTAGGGGCCGACAGGCAGTCCCCAGCCTCCCCATGACGCGCCAGGGGTCATGGCTGGCTTTTCTTTAGGCCAGGGACCCGCGGAGGCGGTTTGGGGAGGGAAGAAGTGAGGTCACCTTCTTGCAAGCTGGTTCCCCAAATATGTTGTCTGGGCGGGGTCCGGCTCCAGCCTCAGAAGTTCAGGTACAAAGGTGTCTTTAAGGTGCCCGCCACACTCAGGCTCCTGGAGCAGGATGTCTGGGCAACGTGGGTGGATGCCCGCGTCCGGACAGAGTCTCTGCTTTGGGCCAGGCAGTGCCTTGTAGGGGTCCCTCTGTCAGGCCCTTCGGGTCCCCAGCTGGGCGGGCGCCGTTCTGTGATGTGGGACCCACTGGGCAGCACAGCAGTGTGGTTGAAAGCCACATGTGAGGGAATCAAAAGGGCTCAGTCAGGAATCTGGGATGTCAGCTGGCCGGGGTGCGGTATGGGGCACGGGGTATCGTGATTACTGCCACCACGCTCCCGGCGTGGAATCACACAGATTCTCTGTGGCCCTGGCACCACGCTGAACGTGCCCATTTCTGTGAGCCGCCCTCCAGGGCACAGGGGAGCGGCCTGGCCTGGCTGACCCGGCCCCGGGGTCGCCGAGCCTGGCTGTGCGGCCTCATGAGGGGAGGGGGGCCCACTAAGTCTGGAAGCCCCGAGGGCGACCCCCGCCCCTCCGGGCCCTCTTCCTGGCTGGGCTCGGCACCTTGAACACCTTCCCGTTCTGCGGCATGGATGCTGCCCTGGGCCCAGCGGCGCCCTGGGGGGATGGCCAGGTGGCCAGTGCCCAAAACACCAGGTTCGGCTTCAATTATGGTTTTCGAGAGACACCACAGCATGTGTTGCCAAGAGCTGTAATCCATTTTTCTAAGTTTAAAAATATCTCCCAATTTGTTTTATTCGTGGAACATAGCATTTCTACTTAAAAGGATACTCCACTGCCGATTTTAGGGCTCAGGAACGTAGTTCTGTCTGAGGCCTGGCTCCTCCCTAATCCTGGGAGGCTTTCGTTATTTTCGGACCCTCTTTGTGCCGGGACCGCCCCCCCCCCCCCCCCCCCCCCCCCCCCCCACAGGGCACCCCGGGGCATGGTCACTTGTTATTCAGCGTTTGCCTGGTGCTCTGTTTTTTTTAAGTTGGTAAAATACACACAACGTGAAATTTGCCATCTTAACCAGTTTCCAGACCGACCCCCACCTGCTCCTCCAGCCCCGGCCCCACCGTCTCCTCTGTGTCCGTGAGACTGACGACCCCGGGACCTTGAGGGAGTGGGTCCCAGTGCGTGTCCTCCCGTGTCCGTGAGTCTGACGACCCCGGGACCTCGAGGGAGTCGGTCCCGGTGCGTGTCCTTCTGTGTCTGGCTTGCGTCACTCAGCGTCACGTCTTTGAGGTTTATCCGCGTTGAGGCAGGGTCATAGTTTCCTTCCTTCGTGAAGCTGAGTGATAGATAGTGGGTTGTGTGGATGGATCGCGCTGTGTCTGTCTGGTCACGTCAGGGGACACGGGGTGGCTCCCCCACCTCTTGGTTGTCGTGGATCATGCCGCTATGAACGAGGTGTGAGTGTCTCTTCTAGTCCCTGTCCTCAGGTTGTCCCTGTTAATCAGTCATTTACTACGTGCTGTGGCCACGGCCTAGAGCTGACGCTGATGTTTCTCTGTTGCATTTGGGGCCTTCCAAGCCATTTCGTCCACAGAGCACATCTGGGGCCCACTGTGGTCGGGGGCTGCTTCGGACTCCGCGGGTAATGACTGTCCTCTGGGACTGGGGGACGGTGAGCCGACCCGCCCCAGTGTGGTGGTGGCCGTGCTCCACGTTTAGGAGGGGCGCTCCGGGGTCCTGGCGAAATCCTGCTCTGTGGGCGCCTAGTGTGGTCTGTGTGGGGAGGGGGCAGGAGGAGGCCCGTGTGCCATGACAGATTTGGGGCTCCTCTGGAGGGGGCCGGCACCCGAGTGGAACTGAACCCGCGTGGCCCGGGTGCCGCGGACGGGAGCGTCAACGCCCGTGCTCGGGGCGCGCTGTGAGCGGCAGCCAGCCAGGCCGCCCCGTGGGCATCCGGCTTCGGGGCTAGAGACGGCCCAGGCCTGGTAGGGAGAGCCGCGGGGTGTGCCCTGCCCCAGGGCTCCTGTGGGCAACCGGCTGAGTGACCTGGACGCGGGGGCCGACTCCAGGCGCTCCCGTGAGGGCCTGGGAGGCGGGAGGAGACGGGCCATTAGCTTGTCCTTGCCGTCTGTGAAGGAAAACAACAGCGGGGCACGCGGGCCGCGCCAGGCCGGCCCCAGGCGGCGTGAGAAAGCGGGCGGGGCTGCGGGCACTCCTCCCGCCAGACGCGCTCTGTCTCCACCTCCCAGATGGTTTCTGCTCTCTGGGCGGTAGAGCGTTGCACCGAGATGCCCGGGTCGGGAGGGCGGATGGCAGGGCGAGGCGGGGGGCACAGGCAGGCGGGCGATGCTCACTCCTCTCCACGCACGGGCGCCCCTGCCCCGGGCTCTCGTGAGCAGGACCCTGTGCCCCCCCGCACGCCCCATCCGATCGCCGTCTGTACCCCTCTGTGGAGCGGAAGCAGGCTGTCCAGCTTGGGCCACATCACAGCCACCTGTTGAGTGGCCTCCCCACCCCTCCCCCTCTCCCCTCGGGCAGCCCCACACTGTTCTCCACTCCCCAGCAGAGGGAGTGTCACAGTGTAAACCAGATGAGGTTCCAGAACCTTCTGTGGCTGCCTTTTGCTTCTAGAACAACATTGCAGCCCTTCCCTCCCTGACCCCCTGCTCCTGCCCCCGTGGCGTCTGTCCCCGCTTGGTCATGCCGCATCTAGTGTCCATTCCTTTGTGGCCCCAGGGACTTTGCACGTCCTGTCCTGGGCTTCAGCCGCCCTTCTCCCAAGTCTTTGCTCGTTGAGCCGGACGCTCAGGCCTGGCTCAAGTTCCCCTTCACAGAGAGCTCGCTGCAGACAGTCACTGCCGTGGTCGTTCTGAACGCTCTCTTCACGCCCGGAGCACATGTCACGACGAATGTGCGTTTGTGTGATTATTTGCCTGCAGCCTTTCTCCCGGCCGGTGGGTGAGTCCTGTGGACAGGAACCCGCTGCCTTCCCCTGCTGACCGCCAGCAGTTAGAACGCGCAGGGCACAGAGGGGCGCTCAGTCCACACCGGGGTGGTGGACACACGGCCGGGTGGGGGCTCCGGGTTCAGCTGGAGAAGGCACTGTCAGTGGTGGGACCGTGCGTGCAGCCGAGTGGGGCCTCCCACCATTTTTCTTCTAAAAGAAGAAACAAAAAGTGAAACAAAGCAAGAAGTAGCCCGTTTGCGTGCCAGCTGGGGTGGGGCCCGGCGCTGTGCCGGTCGCCGTGACAGAGGCCAGTGTCCCGAGAAGGATGGCCTCTTTGTGCTCTGTGGCCGGCCTGCAGTGTGGTCCTGGGCCCTCTGTGGCTCCGCACAATGGTTTTCTCTGACGTCTCACAGGGAGCTCTCCCGGGCCTGGGCTCTGGGCAGGGAAGGGGGTCCCCTTAGTCCTGCCCTGCCTTTGGGGATGTGCCTCAGGAAACCGGGGTCCAGGGACGCCTGGATGGCTCTGCTGAGCCCCATTCTCTGTCCCCTGGGTCCCTGTGCTCTTTTGTCTGTTGGGCGGGCTGGCCCTGCCGGCAGCCGATGGAGGCAGGTGGCTTCTGTGCCCCCTAAGGCACAAGAGACAGGCCCACCCACCTCCCCAGACTGTCAGCAAAGTCTCCGGACCTCCGACCCACGACCCGAGCCCGACATTCCCCCTGGAGGAGTCACAGGAACCATCTGTGTCCTGCAGGATGGGTGCCCGCTCCACGGCTGTGCCAAGCAGCCAGCTGGGCCCCGTGGCACACGGCGAGGGCAGAGGAACGTGCCCCCGATTGCTTCCCGAGGGGCCGTGGTTGCTGGAGGGGACCTGGGGACGTCTGGGGCGTCCTGGAGCTATGCAGCTGGGGTCCATGCACGTGGCTGCTGGGGGAGTCACGCCTCCGTGGCCAGGACTTCACCGCAAGGAAGCCCAGTGCGGGGAGGGCTGGCCCGGCTGTGCCTGGGTCACCGGGAACACCGATAAGTGGTCACTGCCCCCTCTCCATGGGCCCCGGGTCCCCTTTGAGAAAACCAGGGGTGCACGTTCTGGAGGATGTCCCTGCACCCTGAAAACTCCTGCATCCCTGCACGTCCGTGGCAGAGCAAGGCGGCCTGTTCCCTGCCTCGTGGGAAGGACGGGACACGGTTCTCGTTCCTCGAGGGCCTCGTTGTGTGGACCCTGGCGTCTCTTCCCCCGGGGGCCCCGCTGCCCAGACTTCTCTGCCTCTGCTCCTGGGCCTCACTGTGCCTCGGGCCACGCCCACCCCTCTTGGTCGGCCAGGTCTCCCCTGACCCTCGCACGCACGGAACGCGGGGTTCTCACCTGCATGGCGTCTCCTCGCAGACACGCGCTTCTGTGTGTCAGTCGTAGGGCAGATAATGAGTCGTTGATTCCGGCAAGAATCACGCCCGTGATTCACCGCAATCCATTCTTTCCCGACGTGCACCCATTTTGCCAATGGGAGCTGTTCTTAAAGCTCATTGACACGCTGGGGGATAATGCCCGTGTTGTGCCAGTTTATAGGAACCAGATCGGCACCACATAATGAACAATCTCGCCATTCTTGTGCGGTCCGGAACGTGCAGGGTCGGTCATAGTGGGAGCACTGTGCCAAGTACGCACGCGGGCTGAAAGGGCCCTTCTCAGCACAGCCTCGTCTCGTCGGTGCCCCAGCAGCGTCTCCACTGAACGCAGGCCCAGGGAGCCTGGCGCTGTCCCGGGCAGGGCAGGCCCTGCCAACATGGCTCCTTCCGGGCCAGGCCGGGCCCGCGCGCTGGTTGGAGGTGGGGGCGCCGGGCAGAGACCCGGAGGGCGTCCGCAGGGGTGCCCTGAGGAAGCCCCGAGTGTGCGGCTGGGGAGACAGGCCCCAAGGCCCCCCTAAGGCGGATGAGGAACCGAATCGAAGGCCGGCCAGGGACGCGGGCAGGGCTCTGCTCGGACCAGGAGCCCTGGGCGGTACTTTCCCCTTCATCTCCGGCCTGTCTCGCCGACAACTGGGGCCAGGACTCAGAAGGTGCCATCGCCCCCGCCCAGCCAGGGCTCTGTGCGGGGCCGGGAGTGCGACGGGCAGCAAAGCTGTCAGAGGTCCAGGCCGTGCCCGGGCAGGCGAGGTCCTTGCCGGGTCCCCTCTGGTGGGCGTGCAGGAGGGCTCCCGGTGTGGGACGCGCCGGCGAGACCCCACGTGTCCCCTGGGACATCTCTGACATTTCTCTCTCTGTCCCCTGAAGGTATACGTGAATGGAGAGTGGGTGACGAGCATCAGCGAAGGGGGCAGCTTTGGGGAGCTGGCGCTCATCTACGGCACCCCCAGGGCAGCGACCGTGAAGGCCAAGACGGACCTCAAGCTCTGGGGCATTGACCGGGACAGCTACCGGCGCATCCTCATGGTGAGCGGCACCCGGCACACCCGCAGCCAAGTGTCTGTCGGGAACCCTAGCTTTATCCAAGGGAGGGTGATAGATAAGGGCCAGTGGGGTGGGTGGAAAGTGTGGGAGAGATTCTGGAAACTTCTTAAAAGGCAAGCAGGTAGCTCGGGAGGCTCCTTTGCCTTCCTTCCCTGTCTCTTTTTAGCTGTTTGGAATGGGGTCGTGATGGCTGGAGCTCTCGCTGCCACCCTGGATCACGAGGTGACTGAGACTAGAAACCCATTCACCAAGGGGGTAGAGCAAAGAGATCCAGGCGCCTGGCTCTGTGGTGGCCCCGGCACAGCGGGACCAGACTGATTGGCCCCAGACATCCTCACGCAGGGATCAACCCTCAGGCGTTTCTGCCTCTCTCTCTCTCGTGTGTAGCCACATCCACTCTTGGCTGGTGCAGGGTGGGCACGGGTCCCCTGTTGTACCATCAGGGGCATGGCGGATGCACAGGGGGCTCCCAGAGGTGACCTGGGAGCTGGGGAGGCCCTGCCTGTGCCCACTCAGTGCCCGTCCTGCACACATGTTCGTGGTGCTGAGACCTACCCGGGAATACCACGGGTGCCGCACCCGGCCTTGGGAAGCTTCCCTCGTGCTAGTGGGGGAGTCAGGGGACAAACACACACCTCAGGTGATGACAGTTCCTTGGAGAAAGATAAAGCTGAGAATGGGGTGGAGGTGACCGGGAGGCGCGGAGGGGCTGCTGTTTTCTAGAAAGGCCCCAAGCCCCCCTCCCGTGATGAGGTGGCGTTTGAGCAGACGTACCTGGGCAGGAACCAGCATATCCAGGAGAGGAGTGTCCGGGCTTGCGTGGACAGAGGGAGCAGCGGGGTTACCACCGTGGATGGGGACGTAGGGATCCCGTGGGCGATGCGGTCCGTGGGCTCACCACCCCCACAGAGCCCTCAGCTCCCACCCGAGTGTGCAGGGGGGCCCCCAGAGCGCCTTCCACAATGGACGGGGGGCCGTCCTGGGGGGCATGGAAACATCCTGACCCTGGGAGGGTGAGGGAGACCAGCCCCCAGCCTGGAGACCTTTGGTGTCCCCCACGTGCCCTGCAGGGCTAGGCTGTGTCCCTGGGGACGGTGCAGCTTCTGGTGATGGCGTGGGGTGGGGGCTGTGACCTGGGGACGCTCTGGGGGAGGCCTGGGTTCGGTCCACAGGCGGTTTCGAGAAGCCCCAGGCCTCAGTCAGATGGGAGCCTGGGGTTAGGGCCCGGCCCAGGCTGCCCCTCATCCTGGGAACACCCACGCCCCCGACCTGTCCTGGTCCCGCTGTAACACCGGGTCTGCATGACGCAGGGAGGGTTCAGTGCCGTCGGGGGGGGGGGGT